ACATTTGTGTCCAATTGATTTTCAACAAAGGTGCCAAGACAACTAACTGATCAAAGAACAGTCTTCAACAAGCTGTGCAGGGACAACTGATTTTGTATGATGTTGACATAGAAAGAAGGAAAATGAATCCTTTCCTTATAAGATACACAAAAAATTAACAAATGGATTATAAAGCTAAATGTAAATGCTAATTACAAAACTCTTAGAACATATGAGTAAATTTTTGTGACCTTGAGTTAGGCAAAGACAAGTGTTAATGACAATTTGTAGAATTTGGAACCTCAAACATTGCTGATAGGAATATAAAACAGTGCGGTCACTTTGGATAACAGTTTGGCAGGTCCTCAAAATGATAAACTTAGAGTTACTATATAACTCATCAATTTCATATGTATATGTATATATCCAAGAGATTTTTTTAAACATGGATTTGCACAAAAACTTGTACATGAATATTCATAACACAATCAATCATAATAGCCAAAAGTGGAAATAACCCAAACATCTGTCAATTGGCAAATGAATAAACAAAATCAGCCATAAAAAGGAAGCACTGACCTGTTACAACATGGATGAACCTCAATATCGATATGATAAGTGTAAGAAACCAGTCACAAAAATCTACAGATTGTGATTTCATTTAATGAAATGTACAGATTAAGCAAATTTGAAATTAGCCTAGGGCTGAGGAGATTAGAGGGAGGCTATTTTTTAGTTTATACATTATGTTCTCCAATGTCATCTTTAAAAAGCACAAAATAATGAGTTTGATTTCAAAAGTCAATCGATTCCACTTCAGATGTGTTTGTAGAGTAGTGGAGATTTTTTTCTGCTGATAAGAGAACCATAAATTCCACCTTTGTGGAATTTGTAACTGGTTCATTTGAAATCCAAATTTTATCAATGCAACAGTTACGACTCAGGAAGTCCACTAGGAAAAGCAGGCATCTATGAGTATAACACTGACTTCAACCAAATAAAATAAAAGAATAAGATTATGTTAATATTTTTCCATGTGATATTCTTAGAATAATGTTGTTATGATGGATCAGAACAAGCAAATGATGCTTGAAAATTTTCCAAATACTGACATTTTTGATGGAGTAATCCACTGTGATTGTGTTTTAAAGCACAAACAGAATGATTTGGAAGCACACATCTAGAAAATGAAGATTGCATTTCCTAATGTATTGAGACATTTTTAATAGCAATAAGGATATTCTCATGCCCAGTTTAGTAGAAAAACAAAGAAGGAAGTCAAAAAGAAATTCAATGGGAAAGAATGACAGGTTGACACATTAGGACAGAAGTCTTATCTCCTCATCACAAATCCTGACAGATGGAAGATGGGAGGACAGAGCTGGGCAGATCAATTCCTTTCTCTCCCCTGGGGACCTCTCCGAGCTGTGATTTCTGCATGCATCCGTCTGACCTACTGCTGCTCTTTTTCACAGCTTGGCATGAAGCAGAAACCAGCATAGCAAACCATCTGAAGAGGACATGATGAAAACCATGAAAGCCCACACTCTTCCCTTCTCAACACCCCTCTCGATAGCAAATTAAATGCACAAATCTTGAAAATATTAAGCTTTTAACAAAGTAGATTCAACAATCAATTAGAAATGATTAAATTTTTTTAAACATTTTTTTTTCCAGAGGCACTCTACAGGTTAGCATTTGCCATCAAAAGAATCACAGGATGCCCATCATAATAGGTTGAATGAAAGGCAAAATCAAGACAGAAAATCAAGAATGAGTGCTCTCTTATACAAAACGGAGGAGGAGGGGAATCCTTTACATTTCCAGTGCTCGGAGGAAAAAATAATTTTTCAAGAGTATGAATTTGTGCCACAAATATAATATACAATTAGTACTGGGCAGTAAATAGGGCATTAACCAGAATGCCATGAATGCTAGGCAGGACTTGGTTCAATCATTCCACAAATAAACAAGTATTTATAACACATGCAAAGCATTGCACTGAGCATTACTCACTTTGAGGACACAGAGATCTATAACATTATATTGTCAAATCATAAATCCAAAGAGATTTTGTTTACCTAAAAATTATGAAAACTAAGGAGATCAGTAGCATATTTCTACAAAGATAACAAGGGATAATAAAACGCACTGTATTCCAAACAATTAATGAGACAGAATAGCAATAGGCACAACCAACAGCAGGCAATTTATTTTTAGCTCGAACATTAGGAAACACCACTACAAGCATGATTAACTCCAGCAACGAGCTGCCAAAACGATTGAAAAATTGCCATTACTGAAGAGATGCAAGACTGCACCAAGGGACACGAGACAAGGACAGCCTGAGGATAACTAAATCAGGCCTTTGAGGGTTAGAGTGATTGTATGACCACAAAGGCCATGTAGATATTGCTCACACTTTCTCCACAAATCTAGATTCTAAAAAACATTCAACTGAAATTATCATCCAAAACTCAATCACTCTTACCTGAAGCACTGTTATGGAGTCATATCTTGCACACATAACACTAATAATTATAATAATATATAACACTAAGCATACATATAATACTAATATAATACATATAACACTTTGCTTTTAAAAGTACAGACATAGCAACACAGTCAAAGATGTCTAAAACCTCTAATAGTCAAATTTTAGGGAAAGCAACTACAATAATTAGAAATACTACCCTATAAAACTTTTTCTATTGCTATTTTGCTTTGAGATGGTAAGTGGGCCCACCTACAAACCACAATAGTTACTTTAGAGTACCAAATTTCATCAAAAGCAGCCAATTCTTTGAATATTATATTAGATAGAATAGGTAGCTAAATGTCAAATACTCTGCTTAATCATACAGAAATTTCCCCATAGGAACATTGTATTATTAAATGAAAACAACAGGTTATAAAGAATCATGATCCCATTGATATGAAATTATCAACACACACATAGTGAGATACCTGAAGAATGGTCATCTAATGTCAACAGTGGAAATACCTGGGTAGTGGGATTTTGGATAATTTTACTTTCAACTGTATGGCTTTTGTGTGGTTCTTCTATCAGAACAAAACTATAAAGCTCAGGACCCAGACAGCTGGATTCAAATTTCAGCTTTGCACCTTATTGACTGTGTGATCTTGAGCAAGTTACTTAACCTCTCTGTGCCTCAGTGACTTCAGCTGCAAATGGGGATAATCCCTGTATCAGAGTGCTGTGAGAAGACTAAATGTGTTAGTACAAGGAAAGCACTCAGAACAGTACACAGACCATAGCAAAACGCTAGGGCACATCAGCCTGTAGTAGAAGCACTAGTGCTACAAATACTAAGCCAGATATTTGTAAAATTGACTTACTATGCTCATTAATAACGGCTACAAAAGCAACTATTTCATGGCCAGAAGTAAAAAGGGGAGCAAGAAAACCCCATTGCTTAAGTTTAAATAGCAACCAAAAACCCAAAAGACAAAAACGCTAGCAGAACAACTACAAAGAACACAAAAGTATGTACAGAAGAGATCCTTAAGTAGACATTTTTTTCCTTCAATCTACCCCCCTCATTTCAGGAGTCAGCATGCACAGCTGACTAACAGAGTTGAAGAGGTGCTTTAGGTAGTGGCTTCACTTGTATGCAAGCCTGTGCTCTCAATTTAGCAGCAAAATGAAAGACATTCTGATGAGGTTAGCATTTGTAGGCCAGAAAATCTGGCCTAATTAGAAAGAAGAAATCTTTGAAATGCTTCGATCTGCAAACCCTGGAAAGTTAGTTTGAAACAGGGATTTATATAAATGAAAATTATATGAACATACATTGATTTGTTAGGAGCAGATAATGAAAATGATGGGTTATCCTGAACCCTGTATTCTCTTTTTTTGAGGGAAAAAGGACAATAAACAGACTAAGTATGTAAATTAAACAGTATATTAGGAGGTGGTAAGAGCTGTGGAGAAAAATTAAGTGACTGGAGTAGGGTGGGGAAAAAAGGAAGTGTTGTCATTTTAAATGGGATAGGTAGAAAAGGTGACCTTTGTGCTTGGATCAGACAAGGGAAAGTTCAACCTGTGTCCATAATTATTAGCTCCGATGGAAGTTTTGATTAGGCTTGAAAGCTCTCAGTTAAGACAAGGTATTGGTTATCCCTGTGTTTCATTCATTTTTCTGATCACCTCTTTCAACTTTGATAATATACACTCTAGTTATTACACAAATTCTCTGTTATACATAGTCTATTGGTATTCATTATTTCGCTTTTTAAAATCTAAAGACGTGAGATTCTTAAATTAATAATCCCTATAACTCCATACAGCAAATATAAAGAATTAAGAATAAGAGAAATATTATCTATTGTTTCTGGTAACCCAACATCTATTCCCCCATTTTCCCATCAGAGAGCCCACTTTCCTTGGGGAACTAAGCCTATCTGACTTCCAGCCAATGTGGTTCAGGTGGAGCTGATTAGCAGACCCTACCTCTGGGGTAAGTGTATTACCTGGCCCTACCAGTATGAACGCCAAATCCTCCAAACTCTATACAGCATCAAGTTCAAGAGTGAGCGCATGACCCAAATGACCAATGAGAACCCACAGGTGCAGAGACATAAGGTGCAATTCATGGGAAAGAATTACGTTCCTTCACAGGGTTGCTAAGGTTGCTGCAGAATGTAGGTCTACAGTTGCTTATGTAGCCATCCTTGTCATCCTTGGGGAAGGGAAGGAGGAGGTTCTGCCTAAAAATGAAGCCAATCTAGAGGTAAACAACCAAAGAAAAGAAATAGAGTGGGGTGCCTTTGATACTACATTTGGAAGACTTGAACTCAACCCTGCCTTAAAATAGGCACTCCCTCACATTTTTCTCATAGTTGAAGAGAAGAGTAGGTTTCCTTTTTTGCTTAAGTCATTTCTACAATAGCTGGGTTGCTGTCACTTGCAACCATGGGAGTCTTGCCAAATACCAAGAAACCTTCCAAAGCTGACCTCAGTATTTCCCTAGAAGCCAACAACCGTGTATCCTTACCCGTTCCTGGCCAGCCGTATCCCAGATGAGGAACTTATGAAGTTCACTTCCACAAGGCACAGTTTTGGTCATAAAAGATGCCCTGAAAAAGAGAATTGACATCTCTGCATTACCAATTACCCTCTACAATCTTCACAAAGACTTCTGTTTCAAACAAGTTCATGTAATGCTTCAGCAGGACTCCCAAAGCTCCCAGCCTTGCCCTTGTTTTTGGAGGGCGTCCACTAAAGAAAAAAAGGGCTATTGAAGTCCTGTCACACAAAAGAAAATCGTCTTCATTTTCTCTTAGTCCACCTGGAGGTTTGGGGTTTTGGGGGAAGGCAAAGAATGCATTCAAAACATTCATCTTGAATTGTTTCCAAAAACATTTATCTTCAAGTGTTCTAAGATAATATACCCAAAATCAAGAAAGAAAATAAAACCTTAGATTTTAAAAACATATTATTGGTGCTGACCGAGTGGCTCAGTTAGTTAAGAGTTAGCTTAAGAGTGCGAGCTCTGAGCAACAGGACCACTGGTTCGATTCCCACATGGGCCAGTGACGCTGCACCCACACAGAGCTGCCACTGAGCTGCCAACAGGTGGCAAGATGGCTCAGCTGGTGAAAGCACGTGTGCCTAACAACAAGACTGCCTGTTCAATGGTGGGCTACTCCTGCCCGCAACTAAGACTGAACTCGGCACCTTGAGCTGAGCTGCCGCCCGGATGGCTCAGTGGATAGAGCATGCACTCTTAACAACAAGGCTGTTGGTTCAACTCCCACATGGGATGGTGGCTACGCCCACCTGCAACTAAGATTGAACTCGGCACCTTGAACTTAGAGGCCACGAGCTGCTGATGGGCAGGTAGATGGCGACTGGCGCCCTCCACAACTAAGATTGAAGAACAACAACTTGGCTGGTTCCCTTCCCCAATTCCCCTACACTGTTCCCCTCTCCCAATTCCCCAATTTAAAAAAAAAGCCAAAAAAAACCGTATTATTACTGCAATAAAGAGTGAAAAGAACAGCTGGTATTTGAGCATGTTACAGTTTGCCCCTCGCAATGGCACAAGTAGAGAATTACCTTACATCTTTACCTATGTTGTAAATCCAACACTAGTAGCAATGAATAATAGAATACTATCTAATTCCCATCCTGCTTGCATATATGCAGGGATAAAGATTGGTAACTTAACAAACATTTATGCTTTCTCCACAAAAAAGGAAGCATTTGAAATTCTCAGTAGATAATGAAACACTTGATTTTTTTTTGCATATTTCCCCTTAATAAGCTTTTCCATTGTGCTCATGAAAGATGTAAAAATCTAATACAAGGAATGTTTAATACCATTGACCTTTTCATTTGTGTGTGTGAGAGAGAGAAAGCTTCCCATTCATTAAAAAACATCAAGTATCCCCAAAAGTGGGACAGCCAGGCATGAGAAGCCTCCCGATGTGATGGAATAAGAAGTACACACACCACCTATGTGGCGTTCTGGCTAAAAAATGTTTAATCTGAATTTAATCATGAAGAAACAATCAAGCAAATCTAGAATGTGGAAAATATTACAAGGCAACTGGCCTGAATGCTTCAAATAAGTCAATGTCATGAAATACAAACAAAACAAAAGACAGGGAGGTTGTTCTAGAATCTAGATTAAGAAAGAAGCAAGTGATAATACAACCAAATGCACTATATGGACCTTGACCGGATCCTAGATTAGGCAGAAAACGGCTTTAAAAGACACTTTGAGGACAACTGGAGAAATTTAAATTTAGATTACATGTCAGATGTTATCACTGAATCAAAATTAATTTTCTAGGTATGATAACAGTTTCTTTATTCTTAGGAGATGCATACTAAAGTTTTAGGGATAAAGTATCAGGATGTGTTCCTTCACTTTCATATGGCCAGGCCGGGCCACCCAGTCCAGTGTAGAGTCCAGCCCTGCACCCAGATAACATTTCCTCAACTTCTACTATTTTTCCCAAAGACAAACTACAGACGTCCCAAGGAAAAAAATGTATGTGCCTGCAATTCCCACACTATCCCCACAACATACATGTACATACCAAACGTTAATAGGTCTAATTATCAATGTAAGTTGCACTAAATAGAAATTCTAAGTATTTTTAAGTGATATGACCAAATATTATCAAAACTACATCTGTCCCATGACATTTCATTTCTTTAAAGTGCTAAAAATACACATCCCAGACTACTGATAAGAGCAAATATATTCCAAAATGGAAACACCTTTATTATTTTTCCCGTTATAAAAGCAATAGAAATACTTCACCTGAAAATAAAGAGCAAATATAAACCAATTGTCCATTTCAACACCTAGCGACAATCACTGCTTATATACCATATAAGTTATATATATATATATATATATATATATATATATATATATATATACACCACAACTTATATACCATATAAGTTGTGGTATATGTCCTTCCAAATTATTTTCACACAATTTTTACCCCCCAAATTGATCATACTCTAGATAAATTTTGTTTCTCTTCTACTTTACATGTCATGGACAGACATTTTTCCATTTCGATGAATACAGATCAACAACATTATCTAAAATGACTGAGTATTATACACCATGTTATGAATTTATTCACTACTCCACTGACAGACTCTATTTTTCGCCATTATGACAATGATTACATGAATGTCCTTGGACCTAAATTGCTGAGTCCGTCTACAACTATTTCCTTGTAGTTAATTCTTAGAAGCAGACATGCTCCATGTTGCTGATTGTCACACTGGGCAGGTACCAACCTACCCGCCCATGGTGGTGCATGCAAGGGCCTTTTCCCCAACCAGTACTAATCCTTCGAATCTTTCCCAGTATGTAGGTAAAATGGTATCTCAGTCCTGTTCTGATTGTGCTTATGAGAGCTTTGGACATCATTGTCGTGTTTATTGTTCATTTGTATTTTTCTTTTGTAAATATTTACTTCATGACCTTTGCCTGCTTTTCAGCTGGGAGTGTTCAACCTTTTTTTGTGCACTTTTTGAGTATTTTATACGAAACTTTGTATACTCTAAAGGCCTATAGCATACTTTAAAATATTTTTTTGCAGTTTAATCGTTGCCATTTAACTTTGCTTATGGAATTTTTTCCATAAGTGCCTTTTAAATATTTAGGTAGACAGCTATCTCAATATTTTGTTTATGTGTTTATTGGTGTTTTTGTTTTTACTTTGATGTATGACAGATTTTCATTTATTTCTCAGTATATTCTAGGCAACAGGATAAAAATACATCAATCCTACCCTTTAAAAGTTCTCAGGTTTAGAAAATTAAGTTCATGCCTTTAAAAATCTTGTAATCATAGGCTTTTAAAACTGGATAAAACATAAAATATCCAGGCCAACCCCTTCACTTCACAGATGGGGGCGTTGGTCTGAAAAAAGACTGCATTGACCCTGGTCAAAGAAGAATCTAAAGGCACAGTCAGGAAAGACTGCAGCTTGAGTGGAAATGAGAACTTAGAAAGTCCCTCAGTTTCCTCATCTGTGAAATAGGACTGATATCTACTCTACATGATCTGGAGGGCTGTTGTAGGATCAAATGACAAAATGACACCTGTGAAATTTCCCCTTGATACACGGTAAACCTGCAAGGAACAGCTTTAGTAACAGTAGTAATGCATATCATATATATATATATATATATATATATATATACACACACACACACACACACACACACACACACACACAGAGGATGCCAAAAAAATGTATACACATTTTAAGAAAGGAAAACTGTATTAAAACTGTAATAATATATAGGGTTGTTGGAAAAGTCATGATGCATGTTTGCAACAGATGGCACTAGTTCATTTTTGGAAGTACTACAGTCATTTGCATCTATGTTATTGCTATGTCATTTGACAGCTGACAGTTCTAGCTTCATTCTAAAAAAAAATTGAGAGATTTGGTTGAGTTTTGGAGATTTTACAAGAAGTTGAAGATGGAAGACCAAACTGTGCAGTTTCACCATATTTTACTGTTTTACTTCCATAAAGGGAAGAACGCGCATCAAGCTTCTGAAAAGTTGCGTAAAGTTTACGGTGACAATGCTCTATAAGAACGTCAGTGCCAACGATGGTTCATGAAATTCTGTGCTGGTAATTTTGATCTCAACGACGCTCCTCGGTCAGGGAGGCCCACTGAGGTTCATGACAACAGAAGAAAGGCATTGATCGAGTCAAACCCACGTTACACGACACGAGAGATTGCAGAAACATTGAACATCCATATTCAAGCATTCACGGCCACCTGAAGAAGCTGGGATACGTAAGCAAGCTTGATATTTTGGTTCCTCATTAACTCAGAGAAGTTCATTTGATGGTGCGTATAAACATCTGCAATATGCTCATTAAATGTGAGGAAAACGATCCTTTTTTGAAGCGACTGGTAACTGGTGATGAGAAGTGGATTGTTTACAACAATGTGGTGCAGAAACGGTCTGGTTCCAACGTGATGATTCACTTCAAACGACATCGAAAGCAGACATTCATCAGAGGAAGGTTATGCTTCAGTGTGGTGGGATTTTAAAGGTGTGCTTTTCGAGCTCCTACCCAGGAACCAAATAGTCAATTCGAATGTGTACTGTTGGCAGTTGGACAATTTGAATGAATCCATCATCCAGAAACGTCCAGAGCTTGTTAATTGTAAAGGAGTTGTGTTCCACTGCGACAACACGAGACCACACACAAGTTTGATCACCTGTCAAAAATTATTGGAGCTTGGATAGGATGTGTTGCCACACCCACCATACTCGCCTGACCTTGTGCCATCAGACTTCCACTTGTTTCGCTCTCTTCAAAACTCCTTGCGTAGTATAACGTTCAATTCAGATGAGGCTGTAAATCAGCACCTTGTTCAGTTTTTCTCAAATAAAGACAGGTCCTTCTATAAATGAGGTATTATGAAGCTCACTGAAAGATGTCAAAAGGTTATCAAACAAAACGGGCAATATATCATTGGTTGGTCTTTGTTCTTTATATAAATAAATAACCTTTAAAAAACATAGACAAAATACATCATGACTTTTCCGACAACCCAATATATCGATAACAAAAGATGAATACAAGTCATGTTTGACTTCTGCAATTACAAGAGGTGCTCAAAGTGGTTACCATCAGCGTTCAGACACTTCTGATTATAGCAAACTACTGCTTGAGCAACATTGACCAAAGTGTCCACTTGTATTCATTTTTTGGCACTCCCGGTGTGTGTGTGTGTGTGTGTGTGTGTGTGTGTGTGTGTGTGTGTGTACACACACACATATATATGTATATACACACCCCTCTCTGTTCCTGATTTCTTACTACTAAGAGAAAGATGATCAATATTTGAAATGAAGGCTGACGATCATTCATCTTTTTGTGGTGTGGGGGTTTTTTCAGCCTCTTTGCTAGCTTTCAATCTTAAGATCTTCAGGTGCATTTTTCTTCTCCATAGATTTCCTCCCAGAGTGGTGGAGAGGGGAGCACTGGCAATGTTGAACTGATTTCACTATCTGTGGGAACCAAAATCTGGCAGAGATGTAACTCAACTTCCTTGTAAAAGTTGAAATAGACAGGGAGATACACACACATAATTATATATGTTCAAGATGTTGACACAATCTGCTTGAATAACAGAGCCATGATTTTTCAGTGTTAGTCACAGGAGATGATAAGAATTAACTCTTTCAATGCTGAGACAATGACATTTTACAGCCTATGGCCTTTTCCCAATGATAGTGTGATCCTACTGGAAAGAGTAAGAGTGGATTCACTTGGTTTGAGTCACAAATTTGCTGCTCATGGCTGAGTACACCTAAACAAATCACCTAGCTGCTCTGACCCTTGGAGCCAGGATGGCTACAGGAAAAACGCTCTTGTGCGTAAAACTGAAGTCTACTGAACTAGGTAAGACATGTAAATGAGCGAAGCGTGCTAGGCATAAAGGTAACAGTGATAACAAAAAAAATAATAGTAACAATAAATAGTAGGAGCGACATGGAGTAGAAAGAGCCCGTCCACCCACAGAGGGCACCTGTGGCTCAAGTCCAGCTGGCTTCTGCAACGTGAGCATGTGCTCCAAGCCTATTGATTTTATAAGAGAAGCCAGAAATGTAAGTTTACTATGTAAAAATCTCTTGATTCTTTATTATTTGCTTAAAATTTTTTAAGCAGGATAAACAAAACACATCTATAAGCCATATTGCCAGCCCACCAAATCTACAAAACGAGGGATAAGCGCATTTTCCAAGAAATCTGTACGTTCTTACTAGCTTTATTTTTCCGAAACTGTGGTTTGGAAACATTTTCTCAAAATCCCAGAAGAGAGGAGAAATTTTGAGCAATTTTAAAATTGGGAAAATAAATATCAGGAAAAGGCAAGAGGTAAGAATGGAGGAGCTGAGTTTAATCCTCACTCCAGAAGAAAAGTGAGGAAGGATATAGATAGAAAGCAGAATGGCACATAATTTAATGCTGCAATCACTCAAAATTGCATTTATGAGGAAATTTTAAGGTGTTAGGAAATGCTTATGTTTGAAGTTTACAGGAAAAGAACAGAATTCAAATTCATATATACAAAAATTTTCTATATAATACCTAAAGCTGGTGTGTATATAGAAAAATAAGGACAACCTTTCTGAAAAACATTTTAACAATCAGGAACTTCAAATATGTTCTTATTCTTTGACTAAATTACTTCATTGCTATGAATTTAATCCAATGAAATAATCAGAGGTACACTCAAGTATTTATGCCCAAGGATATATATCACAACATTATTTGTAATATTTAAAAAAATTTTAAACCTAAATGACCTAAATGAAAAATACAGCCATTAAAAATCATTGTTTTTAAAGACTATTTAATGATATAGCATTCACAATATAATGTTGAATGAAAAAAATGTTTTATATATACATAAGAAAATACTGGAAGAAAACATACCAAATGTTTACAGTAGTTACTCTGGGAGGTAGATTATGGGTAATTTATATATTTTTCCTCATGGCTTTCCTCATTTTCAATTTTCATGATGAGCATATGATACTATTATAATCAGAAAAATATTATTTATTATGTTTTTGAAGATTATGTGATATAAGAAAATATGCAAAATATATTAAGTAGAAAACAATTAAAAACTATACTATGATTCCTATTTTTAGAAATTTGGTGCTTTTTAGCTTTTTTAGAGTGAACAGAATTTTTATAATCAGGAAAAATAGACTTTAACCTTGACTCTGTCAAGAAAATGCAGACAGCATTTAAAGTAGCCCATTTATGCCATCTTCCAAGAAATCTATATTCATGTAAAAGAATAAGAAAGACCTACATGGACAGAGAATGCATGCTGAAACATTAAGTAGGGTGTAATACCATTTTTGTTTTTAGACATTATGTATTTGTATACCTGCATATACACAGAAAATATGTATAAGAAATATGTTAAACATGCACTTTGGACTCTAAACCTTGGTAATATAAACTGAAGAATATGGGAATGGAGAGTTAGTATTATAAAACCCTCTCACTTCACTTATTATTTTATACATTTATGTATGGTCTGGACTTTTCATAATGAACATTATAATTTAAAGAACAGATACATAATTGTTTTTAGTTAATAGACTTTTTTTAGAGAAGTTTTAGGTTTACAGAAAAACTGAGTAGAAAGTACAGAGTTTCAATATAATACATACTTTTTAAAAAAACCCAAACCACCTCATTTACTAAACAAAGCACTGTCAATAGTGTTTGACTGGTTGTCTCCAATATAGCTACCAATGATCCATGGGGAGATGAGGGGGTGTTTCCCTATGTTGCCCCTGCCACCATGAGGTGGAGTTTATTTCCCTGCCCTTGAATCTGGGCTAGCATTATGATTTGTTTGACAAAAAGACTGCGACCAAAACGATATACCTATTGTATAGGCATAATGATGTCTATACCTACACATAACAATGGTTTAACATTTTTATATATTTACTATAATTTGTGGTAGAAGTACACATTGCCTTTTTATCTTTAGAAAAATCATTACAAAAGAAATACAGATTTAATTGTTTTTTTAATTTTTTAAGTTTAAAAAGTAGATAGTGGGCCGGCCGAGTGGCTCAGTTGGTTAAGAGCTTGCTCAAGAGTGTGAGCTCTGAGTGACAGCGGTTCAATGCCCGGCCCGAGCTGAGCTGCCGCTGAGTTGCCAACAGGTGGCAGGATGGCTCAGCTAAAAAAAAAAAAAAAGTAGATAGTGAAAGAGTCTCTCTTCCATCTTCTGGAACCACACTTCAGAGGTAATCCTCTTATGGGTTTTACTTTTATTATTAGGAAACACAAAGTGGCAAATTACGGGGAAAAAAGTATATCACAAAGAATAGTGAAAAGAATTTCCTCTACAAAACTGTCCCCAATTTATAGAAGTGCCTATGTTGGGAGATAATTCTCCATGGGTCTCTTTCTAGCAGAGGCACTGTCTTTTTCCCAGGCTGTTTTCAAGGATGTCTGTATAACAAATAGCCTTAGAAGAGAGAGATACGTTTTCCCTTTGGAGCAAAGCACAGACAAAGCACAGACATGCTTATTGTCCATTATAAAAGATTTGGCTTCCCTAACTTGGGTTTCTCTCTTATAACACAACCTGCTATATGTAAGGTGTCACCTGGCCCTCTTCACACCATCCTATGGAAAACTGGGGTTCAGGGAACCAATGCAAAATAATACTCTGGCTACTGCTATTTCCCCTATCTCTGACCCAGGAGTCCTGTGTCTTCTGCCAGCATCCATGACAGTGGGACAGCTAATTTGTTAGCCTGCAGACCTTTCACATTTCTTGACACATATTTTTGTGAACATATTTCTTTAAGCCATTTTTAAATTACAAAATGTGTTGGGTTTTCTCACTTCCACTGCTCCAACCACTGGCCTATCAATGAACTGTTCTTGAGCATCTGTTTATGCCGTGCCATGAATTTTTTCCACATACTAACGATAGAGACAATCACCCTCATTATCAATCCTACAAGAGTTCCCAAAACACATATATATGCATTATTTTCCTCCTGAGGAAAATGAAACCTTGCTCTCTGCAAAAAGCATGCTATCTTTAGGAGAAAAATAACTTCTAAGACAGTGAAAAACCAAGCACCTGCAAAATGATACAGCAAAAGCACATATGGCAAAAGAATCCACAGGAAAAGGGAAAATGGAATAGGAAAATGCTTCTGCATTCCAAGATCAGGATCTCAGAAGTGAACGATCCACCCCTCTGCCCCCCAAGCATTAGAACAGAAATGCTGACATTCAATTAATCCAGAAAAGGAACATCAATCTGCCCCACAAACTGTGCCGACAGCTCTGCCATGTGAGTGGACAGCATTTCCAGGTTTACTGGCAGACAAGTTACACCAGAGCCTTTGTGAATTTTCCTGTGTCTCATCTTCCATCTGGAAAGAAAGCCGACATGATTTACAGAATAATGCTCTTGGAGATCAAGGAACCAGCCTTAGGCTGCAGCATGACAACAGTTGGCTAGGAAAAAAAATTATTGACAGAGACATACAATTTAAAAGTGCCTGAATTTCTGTCAAAATCTTTACCATTGGGATTGATTCTCAATGGCTGGGATGAAAACCACTTGGAGGCTCAGAAGCAAAGCAACCTCTCTGAGTGCTTTAAAAGGAAGACATGTTAAAGAGAAGAACATACAGGAACTTACCCAATGGTCGGGCTGATGTTGTGGTCAAAGTGATCCTGGACAAATCGACACACAATGCTTGATTTCCCAACCCCAGTGTCCTGGAAGAGAATGAGGACACAGCCATGAAGAACAAGGGTGCCAGTCCTGACCAAGTATAAACATAAACAGGAGGACAGGACAGGTCATTTCTAGTTGATGGGAGTGAGGGAGTTAAAGGGAATATTTTTTTCTATTTCTTACCAGTACTTTCTACAATTAAATTGTATTGCCTCATAGAAAGAAAAGAAGTATGATAAAAAATAAGTTTTAGAAATGTGTCCCACACATATACAATAATTAACTAGAAACTGGCATGTTCATGTGCACTCCCAGAAATTTGGAAATTTTTAGAGAGATCTAGAGAAGTATGGCAACACACCACATTGTTTTAGTAGAGATAGAATTGATTTTGTTCAAAATCTTTGCACTCAAAAAATATGTAATCTATTTTTGTAGGTATCAGTCTATGAGACCAATGAATTCTAATTTCTGTATTTTCTCTTCAGAATCTGATGGTTGCATAGTAATCTCCAGTATTGCTTAATTATATAAAGATCTCACCTCAGCTCTTCCTCTGTTAAATAATTCTTTAAAGCTAATTAGGATCGAGGTCCAGTTATACATTGGAAATCAAATACATGTGTTTCTATCCACTCCCTTCCAAAACCCTTGCAAAATGGTTTAAGGAATGGAACACACAAATATACAAGGTCAGAGAGATAGGAGAAGAGACAACACCAGACAAGTGATGTCAACGAAAAGCACTTGGTCACTGAAAAAGAAGAGCTGGAGCCTTAAATGACTGCAGGGAGGAAAGCCAATGAAAGGTAAGTCAATTCATGCCACAGAATCCCAAACATGAAGAATTGGAGGGCCAGGCTAAAAACAGCATCAGTGAAAGGCTCATGTAAGCACCCCCTTGGTGCCCCAGAGGACAGACCGTCTCAAATTCCAGGAGAAGATGGGAGATTGACTTTCCAGGAAACCTGCATTAGACAGACAGGGGCTGGGTTCAGGGACTTCAGGGACAGCCCGGTGCTATTCCCCTGCCCTGTGTGAGCCAAGACAGAAGAGGCGAGGATTCCCCTTTAGGCAAGAGGATCCAGATTATGGAGTCTCACAACTAAAGACCATGTGTGTATCAGCTGACAAGCCTCAGTGCAAACAGAGATTTCAGTACACATTTTAACCTTTTCAAAAGAAACACTCAGCTAAGAAATACCAGACATTTATACCCACAAAAAAGGAGTAGGATGCTATCTTAAAAGATCATTCAGAGAGTAAGACTGACCTCTTACAAATTAAAATATGGGGGCCAGCCGAGTGGCGCGTTGGTTAAGAACTGGGTTGGGACGCCAGTCTGAGCAGCAGGGCCCTGGTTCGGATCCCACATGGGGCCAGTGACACTGCCCTCTACAGCTAAGATGGTGAACAACAGCTCGACCTGGAACTGGGCTGCCGTGAGTCGCCAGTGACGGCTAGGCTGCAGCCCCTGCTGCAGTGGGCTGCCCTAAGCTACTGTGTGTGGCCGGCAGCCAGTGTGAGCTGCCAAGAGCCGCCGTGAGCGGTCATCCAGAGGCCAGCGATTGATCTGCCTCACCCAGGAAGAGTGCAATGATAATACCAACTTGGGCCAGTGAAGCAACGTCTTCCACAACTAGACTGAAAAACAAAACGACAGCAACTAGTCTGTTCCCCTCCCCCAATTCTCCAATAAAAAAAATCTTTAAAAAAAAAAGAAATTAAAATATGATGGCAGAAATGGAAATTTCAAAAGAAGAGTTATAAGGCAAAGTTGGGTGATTGCCTAGAAAGTAGAACAAGTGACAGCAACATAGTTGCCAATAGCTACTCTTCTCAGAAGAGGTTCATAGACTATCAACACAGAGAAGTCCTCCTCAATATGTGCTTATCTGAAAGGATTATGGAGACATTTTGAAATCTACAGAGGGTGCCAAAAAATGTATACACATTTTAAGAAAGGAAAAAACTGTGTTAAAATTGTAATACTCAATATATACCAATAACAAAAGATGAATACAAGTCATATGTATACATTTTTTGGCATCCCCAGTATAAGTGAAAGTAAAACAAAATATATTTAGCCCAAAAAGAAAAAAAAATCCTACAGTTCTCTTGTATTAAAGGTATAACTTTAAAAGCCTAAAAGAGGGCAGCTGAGTGGCGCGTTGATTAAGAACTCGCTTGGGATGCCAGAGGGCCCCAGGTCGGATCCCACATATGAAGGCCAGTGACACTGCCCTCCACAGCTAAGATGCTGAACAACAGCTCAACCTGGAGCTGGGCTGCCATGAGTCACCAGAGACGGCGTGGGCTGCAGCCCCTGCTGCAGTGGGTTGCCATGGGCTACTGTGTGTAGCCAGCAGCCAGCGTGAGCGGCCAGCAGCAGCTGTGAACAGCCATCCAGAAGCCGGTGACTGATCTGCCTCGCCCAGGAAGAGCGCAATGATGGTGCCAACTTGGGCCAGTGAAGCAACGTCCTCCACAACTAGACTGAAGAACAAAATGACAGCAACTTGTCTGTTCCCCTTCCTCTAATTCCCCAGCACTGTTCCCATCCCCCAATTCCCCAATAAAAATCTTTAAAAAAAAAAAAAGCCTAAAAGAGAAAATGTTGAAGCTCAGGGAAACATGGTTTTTTTAGACACTGAAATATGAACTGAGATTTGAAATACCAGCTGGTAATCTGAATTATTTTTATTAATACTCCTTCTCGCCCCTGTGTTTAGGGGACAATTCCAGCAAACCTGGGGCAAGAGGGGCGTTGGCTGGCAATACTCATCAGAAAATCATTCTCCAGAAGGTCTCCCATCTTAGTGAGAGCTGCCTTCATGAGTTCTGAGCCACAATAAAACAACTGCACCAAAAGCCATTTATCTGCAGTGTGCAGATCGATGTGCAGAGTTCAAAGAGGAGACGACATAATTAAAACCTTAGCTCCTCAGATTCCAAATCAATGCGACTATTTCTGAGCTGCACATTCAGTATGGATTCTGGTTGATGTGCTCCACAGTGCCCCAAACCACAGCTCACTTTTTTCATCTCGGTTGTTTTTAAAACCCCTTGTGGATGAGCAGATCATGGCCATCCTTTGGTCCATGCAAACACAGAGAAACTGAAAACTGATGAACCGAGCTGCCTACCTTGAAGACAAGGAAAACAAACTCTTTCATAAGGTGAACTGTTTTCTGCAAATTGCCAAGTAAGCAGAGTGGGGACCTCTCCCCACACCAACCACACCAATTTTTATTTTTATATCACTATGCTCATGGAGTGCAACACCCACTCTACCCCCAATAGAGAGCTTTCAAATTTATTATCCCACCTGAAATGTTAAATGATTAATCCCTGCCCTCTCTTGCACCCATTGAAGCCATTCCCATAATTGGAAGGCAGATTAATGCAAGAACCTATCTTGTCCCTCTCCGGGTCTCTCTATCACAGTTTAGGAATTCCCTTTCTCAAGGCTCTTCTATTCATCCATTCTTCACTGGTCCAGAAAGCAATCATCAAGTGCTATCTTCCACATGCCAACAATAGGCAAGCCCTGACTGATGGGAGATAACATGGCCCCTACTTGGCCTCCCAGAGTTCTACAACCATGAAAGGCGCCTGACAGAGGCAAGTACCAGCACACAGAAGTGGGCAGGGCTGCTGTACCTGCAGCTAACCCATGGCCCAGAGCTCAGGAGATAAATCCTCACCTCCTACACTTTGTTCCTTTTTGGCCTTCTTTGGCATCCTTCAGCTTATACCCAGTCTCACCCTATTTCCAAGCTGAGAAAACTGCCCCTCTGAAATGTCTCTAGTTCATCCCAAGCCTGAGAGGCCCTTGCCCCTGCAAGCAACATGGCCCTTACTCTCTGTGAGTGGCCCTTGGTGAACAGGCTTTGGCTAGACTGGCGTCTTCACAGTAAGGACTCTGCTATAGGAACATTCTGGAGTCTATCCATTCACTCTACCCAAGAGTTCTGCTCAAAACAATTGGCTCCAAATCCCCAAAATAGCTCGAGATCCTGCAAAAGCGACCCTCAAAATGCCTTTGAAGATGAAAAATTCAAAAGCCATTTTATTCATCTCTTTCCATCTTCTACAGATAAATCAAGCTAAAATACCAGCTTTTGAAATGGTTAAAACAGCAAACCTACTCAAATTTAAATTTGACAATTAATTCTTCAGCCAATATACTCAGTGTTTCTTTTCTTTTTATAATTTAACTCTCAACATTTTTCTCTCATTCATTTATACATTTGATAGGGGGAAAAAATAACTAGGACAAAAAGATAGACAAAGTTTTAGTTTGTCTCAAAAAAGAAAATACTGGGCCGGCGGAGTGGCGCATTAGTTAAGAGCTGGCTCGGGATGCCAGAGGGCCCCAGTTCGGATCCCACATATGA